TTATGAAGTGGGAAGAAGTCATTGAAAAGAAAAGAGAAACTGGGATGGGGGAAAAGAGAAAAGAAGAAAGGGAAAAGTATATATATATATATACATACAAGATAGTTAAGATAGTTATATTACTAATTTCTCTCAGTTCATTGAAAAGAAAGATTTGTGCTAATACTGTTTGGACAATTAAATACCTGTATCTTATAGTCTAACTAATTTAAAGATAACAATATGCAATGTATTAACCATTTTACTCTCCTATTATCTTGTTTTGAAATTTTGGTTTTGTTCTCTTTAAAATAAAACAATAAAAGAGGAAGGGCATAAATTGGGTCATGGTTTCAGAGGTTCCAGTCCATGGTCAGCTCACTCCAAGGCAGAAACATCATGGCAGGAGGTCATGGTGGAGCAAAGCTGCTTATTTCAAGATGGCTGGGAAGCAAACCATAGGAGACACATCCCTCCAAAGACATGCACCCAGTGACCTGCCTCCAGCAGGGAATATTCAGCTGTGAACTTCAGTGGATTAATTTAATGATAAGTATAGAACCCCCGTGATCCTATCACCTCTCCAGGAGTCTCTTAATCCAGTCATGTTGACAATGAAGCTTGACCATCAAACTACCTAAGTAGAACCTAGGATAGAACAAAGGTAGAGCCCCCTTTTTGGGTCTCTCAGAGATGAAAACTTGCTCAGATTGAAGGATGTGATGGTTAATTTTATATGTCATCTTCACTGGATCATGGGGTGAGCAGATATTTGTCTAAACATGATTTCTGTGTGTCTGTGAGGACGTTTCTAGATGAAATTAGCTTTTGAATTGGTAGACTAAGGTAAGCAGATGGCTTGCTCCATTGAGAGTGAAGAGAAGAAATAGAAGAAAGGAGAAGTCGCCCTCTCTGCTTGGCTGCTTGAGCTGAAACATCAGCTCTGTCCTATCTTCCAGTGGGGACTTACACCATCAGCTCTTTGCACTCAGACTGGAGCTACACAACCGCTCTCTTGGGTCTTACAGATGGCAGATGGGGGGATTTGTCAGCTTCCATAATTGTATGAGTCAATTCTTCATAATCCCCCCTTCCCATCATAGATATCTCTTTCTCTGGAGAACATATAATACAGGAGACATTTGAGTGTCCTGTTATTAATGCCCTCAGTTATTTTACTAACACTTCTTGAAAAGAGAGAGCCGTTATCTTCCAGAAGAGAAGAAAACCCAAATTCCCATACCATGCTCCTCACTGAGTTTGCAGACTGATCAAATGGGAAAAGAACGGGAAGTCATTTGTAAACTGTAAAGTGTTCTGTAAAGCTGGGCTGTTGTTCCAGTTCCTCACTCTTGGGTTCTGGGTTGCTTCAAAGTGAAACTTTAGTCAAAAGGATAAATTTCCAGTCCCACATCTGGAAAGAACAATTTGACTACAATGCTGGTACTGTGTGATTTTTTTTCCTCTCTTGGGAGTTGCTTTTATGAATATAAATATATTGTATTTTATTACTTTTAACTCCTACAAGAAATTTTCCCCAAGCTAGCCTAAGCAGCCAGTTTATTTCAGTTTTCCTTTGAACATTTAAAAGAATAGAAGTGCGGAATAATTAAAATAATTATTAAAACATTAGTTATGCAGAAGGGTTGCTTTCTTGCACAATTCCAGGGAGAGACAAGCAGAGTAATCTTAAATTGAGGTTGAGTAGAAGAAAAACTTTCCTGGCAGAGCTAATTATTTCATTACAGTGGATTAATACTAAGAGCATGCTTGGCCAATTTTTTCAATTGACAATAGTTGATCATCTCCAATAAGATTAACTTGTAATTTCCTTAGAAACCATTATTAAAATTATTTTTCTTTCCCTTTTGCTTATTGTAAAACTCCTATTTTTGCACTTTCCTTCACTAATTTTATAATTAGACCCTTCTGTCCTCCCTGTAGTGTTTCATGTGGCCTTTTGGAATTTTTAAATGGCAGAATTCAGAAAGGGATACTTCCCCATGAAAGGATTCTTTTAGACCCTGTGTGTAATATTCCTGCTTAATACGGTCTCTCTTGGACCCTGATTAAATGACAGAGCTATGTAACTAACTTGTTTGGGAGTTGAGTTTGCAGGTGTTTTAGTCACATAAAGGCATGGTTGTCTTGAGTCTTATTGTACTGAATTTATTTTACTGTGTTGAATCTAAGCAGTTATCTTTGCTGATCTCCTTCCTCTTGGTTTCTGGGTGTTTTCCTAGGGGATTTTGATACTGTAGTCTCCAACTTCCACGGTAGCTTCTTCGCTGGCTTATGTCCTGTCCACAATATTGTTTTGTACAAACACGTTAAGCAGATTTATTCTTTCCCCAGGCCACTGATGAAGAGGGTAAAATGTAATAGATCCAAAGCTGACCTTGCGGGTCATCATTCCAGCGTGCGGTTTCCTACTACCTTGCTGTGGGTGCAGAGTGCAGCTCTTAAGAGCACCCTGCACATTTGTTGAACTTTGGGCAAGTTATGTGCTGGCTCCTCATGGACAGTTTAGATGAAAATACTTTATAAATGTCATGTCCTTGTCCTCTTTTCAAAATGTCATGAGAAGAAAAATATATAGCCTCGGAGGGATAGAGCGAAGATTTAGAAGCAGGCCGTTCCACTTGTTAGCTGAAAGACCTTGGACAAGTCACTTAGCTTCTGCGTGCCTCAGTTTCCTCATTAATAAAACAGAGATAACAATGGCAGCTTCACAGAGTTTTCAGGATTAACAGAACTTTTGAAGTGGTTGGCCTGTCCAAGGGACCACTAGCTATTTGGTGACCACTCTGTTCTTAATGCATCTCTGGGTATGAGCATTAAGCGTACTCTCTTTCAAAATCTGTGTGGCTTGGAGCACATGGGCTTTTCCGGTTTACTAATGAATCTGTTCATCCAAAAAAAAAAACCAAAAAAACAAAACAACCAAAAAACAAAAGCTCTTTAAAGTCAACAGCAATTGCACACACACATTGTCTATTCAATTATTTGAAATAGAGAAATTCTGTTGATTTAATTCTTTACAAAGCTATGAAGCTTACTTCTGCGTCCATTTTCTCCTTAGAACTTAACGGTCCATCTTGCTTCAATTTTATTCCTGTATTTTCCAAAACCACAGGAGTGACATGTATAGTTTTGTAGTCTCTGGGGCCATTCCTTTCCAGTTTTTATTATATAATATTTACACAGGCCCTTTTCTTATTCCCACACATAACTTGTTCAATCTAGACTTCTTTTCCAAGTGGCAGGCCAGTCACTTTCTTATATGTCCTACAGTGAAGCAACTGGCCTGGCCCATCCCTGTGTCACCAGACCATCATACAGTGAGCCTACTACCCACAACCACGGCACGGTGCTAACATTCTCTCATTGGGGCACGGCCCAACCTTTTTTGCTGTTCAGTGGTCACTCCATCAAAAGTATTTTAATCTCCAGTAGGTCATTCATAAAGATGTTAAATAAGGACTTATCTAATAGTGAACTCTCCCCACAGCAGCGACTCTGTTCAAAAGCCCTGGAATGGGGAAAAAGGAAACGTTGTGTTATCACAGCAAACAGTCCCCTTTCGGTGAATTATAGAAATGGTGCGCCCAGTGAGTGTGGCACATGTCACACATGTAGTCTTTAATGACCAATTTGTCCCAGAGCCCAAGGGAATGTTTGTGTGCAGCAAGCTAAATTTGGTTTACATTTGGACTTGGAGGTTTTTTCCGATGGATTCAAACAGATTGAAAAGTCCTAAGCAAAGGGATACTGGGATAAGTAAAAGTGTCTGGCTTAAACTCACCCTCTTGTCTTTCCTTTGTGAAAGAGACACCAGAAGAGCATCTGGGGGTCTGTTATGGCTTGTAACTAGACGTCCCCCCAAAGCCTCATGTGCTCATAGGTGGAGCTTTTTTTTTTTTTTTCCCCTCCGGTACCGGGAACCGAACTCACGACCTTGCGCTTGCCAGGCAGGCGCTTTTGCCGCTGAGCTAAATCCCCAGCCCCTAGGTGGAGCTTTTGGAAGGTGACTGGATCACGGGGGTGTAATGCTGAATTACAGTGTATGATACTGGGATTAAGGATGTATGATAACCAAATTGGTTTAACGTAGTTCTGGGTGTGGATAATGGAAGCCCCGCCCTTGGTGTGGGTGGCACCTATCAGTGTAGCCTGGATGGACTATAAAGGGAAAGATGGACAGCAGGCTTTGTTGCTGTTTGCTGCTCTCTGCCTGCCCTGCTGTGGGCTGTTTCTCCTCTGCAGTGCCCCTCTGCCAAGCCACCTTGCCTCCGAGCCAGCTGACTATGGACTGAACCCTCTACAAACTGTAATCTGAAATAAACTTTTCCTCCTTTAACTTTGGGTATTGGCTATTTTGTCTCAGCAGTGAGAAAATAACTAAGGGTCACCTTGAGATGAGCACTCATGTGTCATCTTTATCAATGGCCCAGAGTATCGTCTTGCAACATGGAATGAATGGATCTAGATATTCATCATCAATAGTTGGTAACATCTCAAAGGGGCAACCAGATGTTATGTTCTTCCTGATGGGAGGACACGCCACTACTTATGAAGTGGTCTTATCGAAAAGAACAAACCCAATGTGTTCAAACCTCTAGAACCTATCACCAGTTTATAAGAAATAAGAAGATGGAACATGGTAACCCTGTGGAGGTGCAATTAGAAAAATCTAAACCACAGTGAGTCTACAGAAAGAACACTCCAGTGTCTTTACAAGTTGAGAGAGAGAGAGAGAGAGAGAGCGAGAGAGAGAGAGAGAGAGAGAGAGAGAAGAGAGAGAAGAGAGGGCACTTACAAAATTAAAGAGATGTAAAAGGCAAATCATTCAAGCACAACACACTGAATTTATAATTTATTTAGATACTAGATGAAACAAACAAGTGATTAAAAACCATTTATGAGATAAATGGGAAGTTGAGCACTATTTGATGATCTTAACGAGTTATTAATTTTTTAAGACATGGTAATAACATTGTGTTTACTTTTTTTCAAAAAAGAAGAGCATCACTGGGAGGCGCAGATGGAACATTACAGAGAAGATGATTGATGTCTGTGATTTACAGCGAAATAATGTGGAAGAGGGAAAAGCGACTGAGGATGCAGATGCAATGTGACGAAAAAGCTCGGTAATTGTGAAAGTTGGGTACTGGGACCTCACTGTATTATTCTCTTTACTTGTGTATCTGTTTAAAGTTTTCCGTAATAAAAAACGGTACACACAGTCTGGTGTGGTGGTGGACACCCTTAATCCCAACACTTTGGGAGGCTGAGGCAGCACTGCAAGCTGGAGGCTAGCCTGAGTAATTTAGTGACTTAGCGAGGCCCTGACTAAAAAGAAAAAATAGGGAAAGGCTGGAGATCAGTGTGAAGGCCCTAGGTTCAACCTCCAAAACTGAAGAAATAATAAGCAAAGATACCACAAAATACTAAATCTCAAGCGGGAAATAAAAAAAAACCAAGCAAGAACTGTATGACACAAGCATGAAGTGCTGTGGTAGAAGATCTAAATGATGTTCACGGTCCGATATATGCGTACACAAAGAGGTAGATTAATTCACTAGAGGGTTTCAGCAAGACTTGAGGGATCTCACTCTGGTTCTAAAATTGACAGTCAGAAGGTCAAGCTCTGAACTCCAGTTTTTCTGCCTTGAGATTTGCACTATTTAACCCCCCAAATATATCTTCACTGTGTTGAGGTATAGGAGAGTTAAAGTATAAAAGAAAAATAAAAACTCCTTATTTACTGGTTAGTGCTTTAGTGCTAGGCACTTTACACATGTATCGTTTCATTTTCACCCTAAATGTAAGCCTTGAGGTATACATTATAATCCGTAATGTGTAGACAGCGCTGTGATTCAGATTTCAAATGTCCCTCAAAAGTCTTATGTATTCAGAATGGGGCTTGTGGAAGGTGACTAGATCATAGGAATGCTATACTCACCGGTGGAGTCTATTTTTAAAACACAGAATGACCAGTCTAGGGAAGCGACTTCCTACTTCTTTATGTGCCGTCTATCAGTAAAAGATTTAGTATATTCAGCCTCAGCAAATACGTATTTATCTTTTAAAAGTTTTATGAGTACTGGCTACAGTGATACTACTCCATCTTGTATACTATCACTATGTGACGCTGAGAAAATGATTTTATTTGTATTTTATTTTAAAAGATACTACACTTTATCTTTGAGAGCAGTTTTAGGTTCATAGCAGAATGGAGCAGAAGTACAGGGCTCCCCCACACAGACAGCTAGCTACCTGTTCCCACACACAGACAGCCTCCCCTGTATGGATATCGTGTGCCAGACGGGAGAGCTGGTGAATAATCAGTGAACCTAGACCAGCATATCATCAGTGTCCAAGATCTACAGTGTACGCTGGGGTTCACTCTTGGTGTAATACATTCTATGGCTCTAGAAACATGTATATACCAAATAATCTCACTGCCCTCAAAATTCTCTATGATCTACTTATTCATCTCTCTTTCCATCCCCCCAAACCACCAATCATTTTGCTGTCCCCATAATTTTGCCTTTCCTAGAATGTCATATAGTTGGAATCATATGGTATGTAGTCTTTTCAGACTGGCATTTTCACTTAGTAATGTATATTGAAGGATTTTCCATGTCTTTTCGTGGCTTAGTGGATTATGTCATTGCAGCACTGCATAATGCGTCGTTGTCTGGATGTACCACAGTTTATCCATTCACTCACTGAAAGATATCTCAGTTGCTTCCAAGTACTGGCAATTATGAATAAGTCTGCTACAAACATCTGTGTACATGTTTTTGTGTGAACATAGCTTTCAACTCATGATAAATACCAAGGAGTACAACTGCTGTATTGTACTGCAAGAGTTTGTTTAGTTTTATGAGAAACTGCCAGACTGTCTTCCAAAGCGCTGGACCGTTTTCCATTCTCACTAGCATTGTGTGAAAGTTCTTTTTGCTCCATATCCCTTTTAGCTTTTGGTGTTATGGTCAGTATTTTGGATTGTTGCCATTCCAATAGGGGTGCAAAGGTGTCTCATTGTTTTAACTTGCAATTCACAATCACACGTTGAGCATCTTTTTATATGTTCATTTGCCATCTTCTTTGTTAAGATATCTGTTTAGATCTACATTTCTTTTTTGTGTGTGTGTGATTTTTTTTTTTTCTGTTACGGGGAATTGAACTCATGACCTCACGCTTGCCAGGCAGGCACTGTGCCGCTGAGCTAAATCCCCAGCCCCAAGGTCTTTTGACCATTATTTAACTTGATTGCTTATTTTCTTTTTGTTGAGTTTAGGAGATCTTTGTATATTTTGCGTAACAGGTCTTTGTCATATGTGTGTTTTGTCAGTGTTTTCTCCCATTCCCCCAGTCTCTCCGGCTTGTCTTCTCTTGACAGCATCTGTTGTACAGCAGATGTTTTTCATTTTAATGAAGCTCCAGCTTATCAGTTATTTTTTTCAGAGATCAGCCCGTGATAGCATACCTAAAAAATCACCACCAAATCTAAAGTCATTTAGCGATTCTCTCGGGTTATGTTCTGAGATTTTTATAGTTTTGCATTTTACATCTGAGTCTAGAATCCATTTTGATTTAATTTTTGTGATGCATGTTAAGGTCTGTGTTTAGATGAATTTTTTCCTACATGTGAATGTCTGGTTCTTCCAGAACCATTTGTTGAAAAGACTATCTTTCCTCCATTTTACCGTCCTGTCAAAGGTCAGTTGCCTATATTTGTGTGAATACGTTTCGGCGCTCTCAAGTCTGTTCCATTGATCTATTTGTGTATTCTTTCCCCAGTACCACCCTATCTTGTTTGAAGTCAAGTAGTGTCAGTCTTCCCACTTTGTTCTTCTCTTTCAGTGTGTATTGGCCGTCCTGACTCTTTCATCTCTCCATATACACTTTAGAATCATTTTGTCAATATCCACAAAGTAATGTGCTAGGATTTTTATTGGATTTGCACTGAATCTGTAGATCAAGTTGGGGAGAACAGACATCTCAGTAATATAGAGTCCTCCTATTTATGAACATGGAATCTCTTTGTTCATTTGGTTCTTTGATTTCTTTCAACAAAGTTTTATAGTTTTCCTCATATAGATCTTGTACATATTTGTGAAGATTTATTCCTAACTATTTCATTTTTGGGGTGCTAGTGTAAATGATACAGTATTGTGTTTTTAATTTCACATTGCTTTTGCTCACTGCTAGTAGAGAAGAAAGAGATTGACTTTCGTATATTAACCTTATATCCTGAAACCTTACTGAACTAATTTATTAGTTCCAGGGGTTTTTTGTCTTCAGTTCCTTTGGATTTTCTACATAAATGAACAGCACCTGCAAACAAAGATAGATTTGTTTCTTCCATTCAAATCTGTATGTCTTTTATTTATGTTCTTTTTCTTATTGCATTAGCTAGGCATTCCAGTATGATATTGGAAAGAAATAATGTGGAGGGACATCCTTGTGCTGTTCCTGATCTTAGTGAGAAAGCTTCTAGATTCTCACTATGTAGAGTTCTATCGTCTATCTTTCATATTTTATCTGTGGTTTTTTGTAGATGCTCTTTATTAAGTTGAAAAAGTTTCCTCCTATTCCTAGTTCACTAAAAGTTTTTCATCATGAGTGGGTGTTAGATTTTGACAGATGCTTTTCTACATCTATTGATACAATCATGTGTTTTTTTCATCTTTAGCTTATTGATATGAAGAATTACATACTGATTTTTAAAATGTTGCCTGCTTGGAATAAATCTCATATGGTAAAAATATTTCATTAATATTATAAACAAAAAAGTCCCCTTTTTTACTTTGTAAGTGGGAGAGATGTGACTGAATATACTTTGCACTTTTAGAAAAAAATCGCAGTTTAACACTTTGGGAAAATGTGTTTGGAAAGTCTGATTCCAGTTTCAGGTTATTTTGCTGAAACTTTGTTTGAATGACTTGACGTGATTGGGAAGGCACTGATAAAGATTTGCAGATTCAAAAAGAAGAAGCAGATTATTGGCTGTGTGCCATAATCACAGCAATATATATTTTTAAAAACCATATATCAATGTCATTAGTCAAGTGTCTCCAGAGAAACAGGCCCAATAGAAGATGATGGGTAGATGATACATACATAGATGGATAATAGACAGATGATAGATGATAGATAGATAGATAGACATATAAATGATAGATAGATAGATAGATATATCCCAGTCTCCTATTGGCAAGGAATTGGTTCTCATGATAATGCAGGATGACGAGTCTCATATCCTGCCATCTCCAAGCTGGAGACTCAGGAAAATCCAAGGTGTAGTTCTTCTCCACATCTGAAGACTTGGAAACCACAATAAAATCCCAGTCAAATAGAGGAGAAGATTACAGTCTCAGCTTCACAGGAGGGGTAGATTCTCCCTCTCTCCAACTTTTTGTTTCATTTAGATTGTCAATGGATTGTGTGATGCCTACTGACCCTGGGAAGGCAATCTACATTCCTGAGCTCCCAACTGAATCGATAATCTCATCCAGAAATACCCTTGCAGACACACCCAGAAATATCATTCAGTCTGGGCACTCTGCCACCTAGTCAAGTGGATACAGAAGATGAACCATCACAGAGATTGTGCAAAAATTTTTGTTGACATTTGGCTAGTGAGTTTCTGTATTTTAATGTCAGGTTGTTCTTTAGAACAATGGAAGGTGCAGCATTTTGAAGCTATCTTCTTTTGGAATATACTTAAAGAAGATTTAAGATTTGAGGTCTATGTTTTTTGTAAGTGTGCAGATATGAAAGTTTTAAGGGTCATCTATATACACTGTTATCCGCAACAACTGTACGATGAAGGAAACTTGCAGGAATCTAAGTAGGTTTTTTTCCCTAGCATAGGTTTCTTGTAAAACATAGTTTATTTCTCACTACTTAAAAAATATCAAATTTTTCTCAAAGAGATAGATTATATGTTTTTACAGAAAGTTTCTGTTAAGTAGAGATTACATTATTTGTCAATCTTCAAAACGTTTAGATTTGGAACCTTTATTCAGAAGCAAGGAGGCCTTGGCCATTCCATTCATTATATTTGTGTGTTTGTGTGTGTGTGTGTGTGTGTGTGGTTGTGGGGATTGAACCCAGAGCCTTTGCCCTGAGCTAC